ATTACAGGTAAAGGCGTATTATCCCAGTGCACAGCGCCATCATCAATCTTGCATCATATACGTGACAAAATCGATGACGTTACCTTCTTACAATGTACACTGCATAAAGTGATGACGCGATGGTGGTGTTTCCAGAATAATAGAGCGTGCGTGTTAGCTGTCCTTTCTATAGGTATTTTATATTTTTTGTTATCTAATACAAAAGTAATGTGCTGAAATGTTATTTAGGAAAAAGAGTTATACCAAAAGAAAAGTACATGAGCAGAACAAATATATGTTTAATTAAAATTGTATATATACCTTTCTATAAGCATAGCAAAAAGAAATTGCGTTCATAGAGCTATAAACCCAATTTGATCAGCGTCATTTTGAAGCTTCCCCTCTAGCCTCGAATAACGCGAGACAACCCGTAGAAGCAAGCATTCTCGATACACACACTTAATATCGATAATATAAGTGAATGCCTATATTTAGATCAATGATAGCTGTAAACATTTAAAATGTAAATATTAGATTGAACGAAATTTGCTAAAGCTCATGCCGAATTGAACGCAAAACAGTTGCATACATATTAACAAGGAGCCCGCTAGGGCTCCTTTGAATATGTTTGTAACCGATATGCGTTTATAACGGTATGAACATTGGAAAATACTGTTCAATCTTAAATAAGAAACATATATTATGTATCATCGACCACTTTTCATAGGTATTCATTAAACAACTATCTACATGCTTTAGAAATGCTATGAAGGATAAGATTGCTTTGCCATACGAGAAAAAGACATACTGGATGATAAAAATTTCATTAAAGAGGACTAGCGTTTACATACTAATTCAATATTACCACGGAAATTGATACAAATCGTTCGTATCACTGACGCCGCAGCCAGACACATTTGAATTTGATTTGAATATGAAAGCTTGTAAATAGGTAAACATCAGTAAAACTTGGTCATCAGAAATGTTGCATGTCTGTTTTTGGCTCTGATTTTCAAGCTATTTGCTTGTTGATGGCGGTGACAGTCGAGAAAATTAATCCTGTAGAATTCTATTTGATAAAATAAGAAATCAGATGTCACATCAGCATCACAATCATCATCATGAAAACAAAATATTTCCTTTTTTATTTTATTTTTATTTAAAATTACAGTTTCAATTGACCAGTTAACACAGATGAGATACAAAGAGTTACTGCCAATTCTACCAAGAGACAACGTTCAATATTATTCGCCCCATGCTTTTTTTAAACTTTGGGAGTGTGTGAGTGATGTTTTTGAAGCCGTGATTCCTGTATAAAAGTATGAAAGACCGGTAAGAAAATACTGAATATTGATGGCATGTTACGTGATACTTGCTCATGGGTTATTAATGTTTACATTTCATTTTTCCTGTTTGATCAGTAACATACAATTTTTCTTTGATAATGAGATCAATTTTTGAACAATACCCGATCGAATAAAAGTACAAAGTATAATCAATTACACAGCTTGCCTCCTGAAGTATTTACCAGAGTGTTTTTCTTGTATGAAATATGTCACTAGAAACGACACTATGTACATGTGATACTAACGTCTCTGCTGTGAAAAAGTTTACAAATGGAGATACCTATTAACCCAGTTTTATGTTGTCTCCGCGCATTAGATGGTTTGTCTGCAATATCGATTTAAAACATGTACGTCAAGACAACATAATATCACGCGACTAATATAAAACCTTACATGGGTGCTCTCGTGAAAAGCTATAATTGCTTCAAATAAACTGTTTATTCAATACAAAAAAAAGCAGTCGGAAGGTATAGAATTATGATTGGTCAATACGGAATATGTTTTAAAAAAAAAAATGACAACAGTTTATGCAATATGTGTTCCACTGTTGATGTTCGTGATTTGATAATACACTGTATATATATACAATGTTCTTTATAAAATATTGTCTTTATTCATTTCGAAACTGTATAACACATCTTATATTTCATTATTGTTATTGCCTTTTTCGTAATATACATCCTAATTAATATACGTTATATTATTTAAAATATTGCACGTAAATGAAATCTGAAATAAAATAGGGCGTTGTTGCTTTGTAACACTATCTTCGACTACTGTTTTAAGGTAATGCATCTAAACGTCGACAAAGTGTAGTGAAACGTAGTAGCATCGAGCTCCATTTACGCGCAGGAGGTCTTGCACGTGTACGGTGTTTTCCGTTTATTGGATTACCGTAGTTTTGGTGTCCAAGCCAAATCAGTCATGCCACGGCTTAATGACGTCAGTCGTTAAAGGGTAATTGACATAATGGAGTTATATTTGTAGGTACACTGAGGTCGCTCGGCGGTTTGGTTAGCCAAAATAGCAATATTCCGGTTTTAGAGCAGGTCTTCAACCACGAATTCGACGGTTTAGGGTTGGGGAGGCCACGCACTACGTCACGTAGACAGGACAGGTATATTTGCCTACGTCATCGGTGTTATCGGACAGTAACGGCGTGTAATGCTTCAAAGTTCCACAATCACAATCACAAACTGTAATCCGTTGATTGATCAAGCTAGGGCTACGTTCTTACCGACCGTATTTTGTACCTAGATTGTTGTGATGTCATATCCAAAGACGCTGACGCTCAGCGTGGGCAAGGCAACATTGACGATGGTCTTTATGACAGTGACAACATGTTTTATTCACGGAGGAGTCCAGATATTTACTCTATCGCTCAGATGGTAGAACGTGAGTGTAACGTACGCGTGGTGAACGTCATCAGGACACCTGCACCTTACGTCATGATTATTGTGGCGGTGGAAGCGTAATGTTGTGGGGTTGGATGTCGGACAATGGACGCACAGCCCTTGCGATCGTCGACCTGAACGCTTATTGTTATAGGGAGCAGATCTTTGTATCCCATGATGTTCCCCTCACGGTGACAAATGGCGGCACGTTTCAGGAAGACAACGCTCGTCCTCATGACGCACGGGTCAACATGGGTTTTCTTCGTCAGTAAAAGTTCAATGAGCTTGACTGACCATCGCTTTTACAGATGGCAATCCCACTGAGCACTGCTGTGATCAGTTTGACAGAGGAGCTAGAAGTTGACGTCAGCAGCCTCAACCGTTTGTCAAGTTGATGATGGCCGGTGAGGTCTTTGAACTGACTCATTTCTTCCAAGAGACGTCGTTGTCAGCCTGGGGTTATATCAGGCGATCGTCATTCTGTGAACTTATGTTTTACATATGCTTGACAAACACTAGTTACGTCATTACATGGAGACTTTTGAATCAAAGTGAAGACAATTAATTGACACATATATCTATATTGCGTTTGACTGTGTGAATTTGCAGTACCCAAATCGGGACACTTGAAGGACAAAGTCGCAAGAAATGTGCATGCTGTGCAAAGAAGTATTTTTACATTGAAAATATTGATTTGAAGATACTAATAGACCAATAAAACATTATATGAACTTAATTTACTGCCACTTATGGTTACAATCATAGTTTTAGTTTGTAAATAATGACGAAAATGTAACGATTTAAATTGATGCGCCATGCGACGTTATTGATTTTCAATTATTGTAGGCAACTTTTTACAATCCTACTATTTCACTACTAATGGTAGTTTGGGAAAGAAATTCATTCAGAACGACCATTGACTCTTAAGTATTGAAAAGAAATGCCATGTTCTGCTAAATACGTTTTTCATCTCCCAATATAAATAAAAACGGATAGGGATGTCTCGATTTGGGTACAGCTTCACCTGTTTCTCGATTACGTATTTATAGAACCACACGCCGGAAACATCAACTTGTTATCAAAATGAAAAGATAATAATATATATTTAGGAAAAGTGAACACAAATTACTGGGATGGGTACTATGGTATGTACTACGTCATTATTACACTAAAAAGTGACCCGATGTGGGTACTGTGACGTTACAATACATTAGTGAAATACCATCAATACAATAATTAGACGTTTCTTTTGGGGAGCCAGTATATATACGTACTGACCGATTTGTATATATTTCAAATCTTCAAACAAAGTACATAGGTATTATTCAAAATACCAACATCATTAACGTAGTGTTTCATGTATATGTTTGGATATACATTCAAATGGAAGTAAACCGTTTTGATTTTGTACTTATCCATTCACGACATCGTATTATTTGTCCGTCTGCGTCGACACGTTGGTACAGTTTGACCTAATGGGTTAATTTAACATGTTTGCATATTTCGTCCTTGTGTTTCGACTTCGTGAATCATGTTGTGTAGGAAACACAGAAAGTGATGTCTCGAACCAAGTAGAAAATGAGATTTTTAGTACAAACGATATTTGTGTTGAAATGTATGTAAGTGTAAAATATTTATTTCGATCTATTATGGCAGTTTCACTGAAACTAATATTAGTTCAATGTCATGATATTAAATCTTCTGTCAGTGTTATACTAGTTCAAAAAGCATGGTTAAAATAATTTTGTAGCGTATAAAGTGGTAACTCTTTATCTTAAAATCATAAAAAAAACATTTCCTATCATTAAATGTTCAGGTTTCACTGATCAGAGTTGGAAATGGAGACTGTTTTATAGTTATAAGATAGTTGAGAATGTGGTGTCCGGAATCTGAACCTCGTTGGCTAGTACAGAAATCACCTTGACACAGTCAGTGACGAGCTTTAAATTAACCAGAAGCGTTCGATTACAGGATCAAAGTTCAGGGTAGTTTATGTACTATCTACCGTACAGTTACACCTAGGTATGTGTGTGTCAACCTTGTCGATGACACTCTATCATATGATTATAGTGCTTCCGATGAAATAATCCCTTCAACTTTAGAACATCGACTGATAGGGCTGATAACTTGTGTTTATTTTGTAGATATCACCCGTTGCGTCAGTTCAGATGTCATTCAAAGTATACTGAATGACACCAGGAACTAACCCGCGATAATATATATATATATATATATATATATATATATATATATACACGTCAGTACACATATATTTAAATAACTACGATGTAATGTTCGGCAAAAGCATTTTAGGAAATATGAGAAGGAGGACATGAAACTATTACTTCGCTATTGCAGCCAATTTTGTATACTTTTCAGACGAAAATTAACAATGTCGCTGAGCTCTTGTTGGACTTGGAAGTACTGCCGAACAGGGCCTATCTTTTGTGTTATAGGATGTGTTCTCATGATATACTTCTTCGTGATGGACATTCTAGTGTTCAATTATATACAAACAATGACGTTTCTGGATCCTCCAAACAAGGGAGGCTACTCGCCATTACGATCGCTGTCCGTCAAGCTGTTGATGATGGACCACATGGCTCATTATATATACAACCCCATAGCTGAGGCAGTGGTGACGCTTTTCGAACCCACAGGAGTTTACCATATTATTACACCTAACGTCATCAGTATTACTGGATTGGTCCTTGGTTTCGTTTCCGGCAAATTTGTATCGATGGAGTCACTCCAGTGTAGACGAATTGGTATACTCATATTTGAATACCGGATGTGGTTAGACGTCTTAGATGGCGTTGTTTTCCGTCATACTTCCGGGAATCCAGTTTACAAATCCCACAGAACGTCTCTAGGATTTTTCATTGACGTTGATTGCGATATTTTCAGTGGAGTCGCCTTAGCTTTCGGTTGTCTTTTCTATTTATGGAAATATCCTCCAATACTTGCATCACGTGATCTCCTACCTCAGACAAAGCCTTTCCTCTCCGTGCGGGGCTTTGAAGATGATACACCTGCTAAGTTTATTGGGACCAAGGCAACAAAAAACTACATATTTTCCAAAGCATTGATATACGGTGTGGTAATTGTGATAGCTTCTGTGACTTGGGATAATGTGGTACAGGCTTATGTGGATCTCCTACAGACTCCATTGGAAACAAGTATACATACGGTACGTATTCCCCATCCTCGATACTCTAGAGGTTTTGCTCACCACACCCATGGAATAGACCATAAACAATTTAAAGGCTAAGTGTCCGCCATTTTCGAATGAGGCAGATAAGACTAGTTTGATCCTTTGTTGTACATAAACAAATCTCTTAGCCGCGTAACGGTAAAATTGACTGGATTTTAAGTCGGGTGTCGCTCTTCTGTAGTCTTCAAAGGACAGCTGTCGGCCTGGCTATTAGTCGGTCTCTTTTTAACTTGAGATCAAGCAAATAGCTCGCCGAGTGCCTTCAATTTGGCTATGACGTACACAGGGGTGCAGAAAGCGAAAGTGACCGTCATCCCTGGTGTATCGATAATGTGTATGGCCATGCAGAGGTGTTCTCATATCTGGATAAACAACATACGCGACATTGCAATGGACACTTATTTAATATGAACTTAATAATTCCCTTAAATCCCATTCGCCGGATGCTGTACAAATACTGTATGACAAAGTTAGTCCATATTATCAATATTCATATATTTATAATTTCGACATTCACAAATATATATACTTGGTTTTCATCATAACCGTTTCGCTAAATACCACTTTCGGGATAATAAAACTTGTGGATGATTTCTCACGATTATCATATTTTGTTTTCATGTATTGAGTTTAAGCCATCCATGAGGCTATTGAACGCGTTACCATGTTTTCTAAAGCATACGTTTGATTGCAGGAGAAACAGACCGTGGCCCTTCACTCCACGGTGACTTTCCTAAGTATGTACCTTTGGCGATTCGGCGGATCTCAAGCATTACTGAACATGATACAGATTGCAGTTTTTGCTGACAAATTATGGGCAAGTATCTGCTCTTCTTATCGTTTGTTTTGCTTTAATCGAATGGTTAAATTTATTTTGAATTCGCAAAAGGAGGAGTGACTTGATGTTTAGCTTTTGTTTTTAGAACAACCTATATGCAATATGTCTCCTTAAGTTTTACAATTTATTTATCGTTACTGTTTTAAAAAATATAGTATATACACGGGTATTTGCCTATTTTGAGTAGATACGACAAGACATTTTTCTTTTTCTTTAAATACACTAAATCACTAACTTAAAAATTACTACAAAATCCATAGGAAAATTTCACAACTTTAGGCAAAGCTTACCCGTTAAAGGTTGAAATATACTATCTTAGACATGCTGAGCAATACAAGGGTTCCTAACAACTTAAACTCATATTTTCATACGTGCATTCGCAGATCATTATTTTTTAATCCGCAGATCAAATTTTCGAAAGAAAAATTGTCCCAGGATGCGCTGGTGAAAAAAGTCCTTGAAAAATACTTGGGACAACTATTATATACCAGTGCGCGTAACGCGTTCGATAGGGAGCTGTTCGTTATTGAATAAATTCATCGAGTAGTTGGTCACCTGTTCGATCCCATAAAAGTCAAATATTTGGTGTTCTCAATGATATAGTAAACAATACGTCCATACATGTTCATATTTAAAGCATACATTTCTTTATTTAACTGTTTATTTAATACCCGATTTAATCAATAGCAGTAAGCCGTAATAATTAACTTACTAATACGAACTAAAAACCTGCTGTTCGTACCTTTTCCTTGACACGTTTATATAGGGGTAGTGTTACATATATCCAGCTTAAACACCGGTATTAAAGTCCCACCTGTGCACACCGATTGCTGAATAAGCGCGACAAATATAGTAGGGATATTGGTACTGAAATCAGCCATTTGGAATACATGTAATATGAATTAACAATTCAAATGTTTATCAAGCAAATATAAGTAATTAGCAAAATTGCCATTATATGTATTATGAAAAGTTCTTTTTACATCACCAATAAGATTTGCAATGTGACGTTTCGATGACTAGAACGATATGCACACTTTCATCTTCATCAAAGAAATGACAAAGTGAAGCGTATGCACACAATGGTGTAAAATGTGTAAGAGTTGTCCACAAAATCGATGTCGATTTTGTGGACAACTCGTACACATTTTACACCTTTGTGTACATACGCTTCATTGGTCATTTTTCTGGTGACGGTGACATTGTATATATCGTACTAGTCATCGAAACGTCACATAGAAAATCTTATTGGTTGTGTAAAAAGAACTTTATTGTAGAAGCGTAATAAAATATCATTTATGTATCAAAGTATTTATTCTTATTTTTTTAATAAGAATAAATACTTTGATACATAAATGATATTTTATTACGCTTCTACAATAAGAAAAGCAATATGTATACTGAAGCGTTAAAACACGATGAACCAATGACACACTACGAATAAAAGAAATATCAGCACGAGAAACCCTAGGAATGTACACTAAGAAGAACATTAAATCATGAAATTGCAAATGTTCATTTAAAAGTCTGCTATAACATGTCTAATGAAGAAGCACCTATTTACAATGTATAAATGTAGTAAGTCAAAATAGAAAGCTAAACAAATTAATATGTATTGCCCTCTATGACCTTTAGCCCGTTTATCGTATATCATATCTTATATTTACATCGTCAGATCCTACCATTGTTTACATTACATAGTCTTATGTTTACATCGTCATAGCATACCATTGTTTACATGACAGAGTCTTAAATTTACATTATCATATCATACCATTGTTTACATGATAGAGTCTTACATTTAAATCCTAATATCATACCATTGTTTACATGACATAGTCTTACATTTACATTGTCATATCATACAATTGTTTACATTACAGGAAATTATATTTACACCGTAACATGTTTGTTTTCATTGCAGGAGTTTCTAAATTTCATTCAGTACGCCGGATTCATTGGGCTGGCGATGCTAAATTGTATAAGCTATATTCAAATATATCATGTAAGTACTTAATGATAATATAATCAACTTTTGAAACAAATGAAAAAATGTGCAGTCATACAAAAGGATGTAGTAAACGATATCTATGTTAATTAACTGATTGAACAACAAAGAGTAATTATCATTATCTGACAGTTTTAACCTTCCTGGTACTGTTATGATTTTCACTGGTAAACATGCTTAGATGGTTTGCTTGCTATTGTGACAAAGCTTGGCTTCATTTATAAACATAGTACGATATCAATCCGAAGACAAAATACGGAGTGACTAGAAACAATTAATACGCTGCTGAAAATTCACATAAATGAAAAACAAATGAAAAAAAAATTCATTCATTTATAAATAAATTTCGCTTCAAAGACATTTTCGCCGGTTTTAAGTCAAACGTTATTGCTTGAAATATTCATTTTTTATATCAAATTTGATTAAATCTCAAAAATTTCAAGCATTATGTATATTCGAGTGATCATATATAAACCTTGGAACTTCTAAATGTATACGTAGTCTGTTTGGTACCAGATAATATCATATAATTTCGCTCCATTTCAGTTACGAGATGTATTATTTGTGTCACCATCCTGAAATTATAGAAGAAGATGGAGCATGTCGCCTTTAAGGTGCAATTACTCGTTTAGTTTCTCGTTCAACTACCAAGAACATTACTATCAAATAAGCTTGATTAACAGCATATATAATAAGCATGGTGCTTTATGCATCAATAATTATATTTATTATTTTCTAAATGTCATATTACATGTTCTTATATTGGAATATAAGAAATAGTATGTCCAGTATGTACAAACCTCCACGTTGTGTGTTTGGGTGTGTTTGTGCGACAAAACATATTACTGTATATCCGGTTGAAACAGCATACAGGTTGTGTATATTGAATGTTTATTGTACGGGTAAACTTATAAATCTATATCATGTCTGCATTCGTGTTGATATTCATGGTATGCGCAACATTGTCGCATGGCAATGATACTCGTTGTTCGAACAAAGTGGTGTCAGTCCTTCATGTTTTAAAGTGGCAAAAACAGACACAAATAGCTAGCTAGCTTCATCAATAGAAATGAGAGAGAGTCCATATGATCGATGCGTCACTGTCAATATCTTTTACATTGTTTGAAAGGAAATATGTTAGTGCATTATCGGTGACGCACTAGGTATGAAGTGTTCATGTATTTATTCATGTAAGTACTTTATAAAATAATTTATACTTTATAAACAAAATAAAAAGTAATATTGTATTATACAAATTGACACACACATCCGGAATAATTAGGTGAAAATACCATTAATTCAGTAACAATACAAGTGACACTCACATCATACAATTTTATAAAAAAAAAACACTCTGTACGGCGGTATACTAGACATACAAGTAACATATTGACAGTTCAATTGTATGTATAAGATACAAATATATAAATATGTATAACCAACACTGGCAAATTTGTTAAGTCCACCAAACGTCGTTGGGGACGTATTGTTTTTGGTGTCCTTCTTCCGCATGGTTCCGGAGTGTGCAAAGCGGTTCATTTCCGACCTAACTTAGTATGTAAGTGTATTATGACATTGCAATTTGTTTTGACTACATGGTCTCTTTTTGGGAGGATGGTATGGTTATACAACGGTTACCCCTTGCAACTGAAACGTGTTATAAGTTGTGTTTCCTTGATTCAAAGTAAAACTAAAAGGGAGAAAGATGCCGAGGAAGGTTTTTCTGGATGACAGTGCATTTGTCAGCTTTTCGTGTTATTTAGATCAGAAACTTGATGACAAAATCATGTAAACAGTTTAGAGTACCATAATAATAAATTATGTATAACCAATTAAAAAAAAATTCGTGAAACCAACGTGATTTATCTAAATTACTAAGACCAATACGTGATGTGCTTACACACATACTAAACTAGCTCATTACATAAACTACAAGGTCAACACTACAGAGGAAATATCCATCGTTTATCTATGTATGTCTATAAACATCCCCTTTAAACCTGACGATTTGACAGACCAGGAATAATTATTTCTGGGCAAGATAGATCGATCATCGATAATATACGGCTACCTCATTTAAAGGCGAACCATGGTCCAACCGACAACACGCCCTTTTATGCGCTAACGTCATGTTGGACACCTCAACAGAAAATAAACAGGAAGATAAAATTGTTAAAACTAGAACTCATATCTTTGAGTCGTATTATCCTCATCCCCATGACTGTCGAATCGGGTATAGGATTATGATTCAGTTCTTATCAACATGCGATACTACATAATACCCTATATACAATGCTTATGTCAATAACCCATTATCAGGATCACGGTACGAAGAATGAAATATTTTCTCTCATTATTTAAGAGAGCAAATCAATAGCAATTCTATACACATTAAAGAGATAACCAACTACCGTGTCAATCGAGGCTTAATCCAGGTAATGGACTGAAACCTTTTATATCTGTAGCTTCATTGGGTTAAACAGGCGTTCAGTTGTTTTTAATCCTAGTGAAAATGCGTGTATATATATATATATATATATATATATNTTATCAATAATTTAAAATGTCTGAAGGTAAATACTTTATCCCAGGTCATGATACATATACCGTCTATTTATTTCCATTGAAATACATGTATAATGATAAAAAAAAACTCTCCAGTGAGAACATACGAAGTGTTTTAGTATTGATGTAATATCAACTAATTAGAACGCTATTTTACTGCATTTAAAACTGCACCTTTACTGTTCGGTCAGCAGATGAAAAGACCAAAGAATAAGTGGTTGTTTTCATATATCTTTGTTTCATTGTTTCAAGGAAATGATACCATACAATAGCAGAAACCATTGAGTAGCTCCTTAAACAATTGCACACATCCTTGTTGTTATGCGTGACGTCAATATAATATGGCATCAAAGATAATGCTACACAATACTGAACAATGCTAATGCAGTAATATTTTGAAAAGAATATCGATATCCTACCGTATTCGGGATATATACTTAGTCTTCAACGGGATATTATATAAATATGACATGCATGAGCAGGTGACAGAGAATATTGTCAACCCGAGAAAACCATCGTCACCCGAGTCGAAGCCGAGAGTGACAATGGGTTTTTGAGGGTTGACGATATTCACTGTCACCTGCTAATGATTGTCATATCTATTTTGTTACACCAAAAGTCTTTGTAGTTCAGAAACGGCAGCACACCTCGATAATGACATCTTGTTTGTTGATAGTCTGCTGTTTACAATCGCTATCGCACCGGCGCTTGACAAAATTGGCTGTTGCCGTCAAACGTTCTTTTTACCATCACGGTGGGGAAACGAAGCGGTGAGCGCACATTTTTCGCGCATGTGATAGTTTTCTCTGTCTCATGGCAGTAATATCACCCGCGCCCCTTAAAACCAATGTATTTTCGGAGGGTGACAGATATTTTTGTTCAATTTTCTCCCAACCAACCAAATAGCTAGAAATTCACTTGAGGTGTAACAACATGAAATATCCTCTCTTTATATATTTCAATATTGAAATATCAACAATATGAAATATTTGTTTGCATTTCGGTATGACAGTTGATATAAATGACACATATATTTGCCCAGGTTACATTGTTTGTAATTTAAAAATGCTGGTAAATTTACTATGTATAATGAATTGCTTATTTCTGAACGGTTTTAATTACTCTTCCTAAATTCCTAGGTATTATGCCAACTTGATATGTCATTACAATCAAATTATGCGGGTTCCCTAACGTTAATGGCCAACTGTAGAGGATTTTGATCGGTGATTACGGTAGATACTATTTCACTTCCAAGACTGTTGCCGAAGCCTCTTTCTCTAGTACGGCATACCTCGTAATATTGGTTCTTAGTGCTCTGATGGCATACACGATGGGCTTTCCCGTTCAGCCGTTACATTGGCAAAATTAATATCCAACTCACTTTACCAATCATAAAAAGGAGATGTAAATATAGATGCTGCAGTCAGCAACTACTTAAGGTTATTGACTCTTAATTGTCTCATCTTAAACAAAAATGATGCATGTCTTTAAGAATTTACGAAAAAGCACTGCCCTTAACGCAAAATCTGGTACAGATTCCCGATAATAAGATATCAGACCGATAAAGCTCCTTATTTTTGACATGTTCTGAGGAACAGGAAACGCTTTGATGTGTCTTACAGTTTCAATATTTGCTGTTACTTCTGTCCTGGTCGCATTATCTCTGCGTTTTGCAGTCAGTCGAACACCCTCACGTAGTCGCACTGGTGTTTCTCAACAGATGATCCAAATATTACAATGTCATTTTGTATACACTATACAAGTCTTCCATTGTAGTCTAGTTATAACTTTGTCCATCAGTCGCCGGAACGTTGAACCACTGTTTCAACATCCCGATGACATGTATTTGTATTAGCAGTCTTTTAAAATAGGAGAATGCCATTTTTGTCCGGTCCATTTTAACTGGAACTCGTTGGTACCTGGAAGCACGATCAAATGACGTAAAGTACCTAACATCTCCGAGAACGTCGAAGAGTTAATCAATTTTTGTAGTTTGTACATTTTATATTCTCTCAATGTGTCCACCGTTTGGCAATAATAATGTCCTGGGCCCGTATATTCATGAAACCGTTCTCATGCTTAAACATTGATTCTGTCCTCAAGCCAGCTTTCTTGTAACCCAAGTTTAATCATGTCAACGATCAAAAAGTCAAATTTAACTATTAAAAACAGTATTCGGCCTCAAGTTTCTTCAATTTTTGTCCAAAACCTTAACAAAATAAGATTTTTTGAATAACTTATAACTGGAACAAGAAATAAGACTTGAGCACCAAATCCATGCTTGAGCATGAGAACGGTTTCATGAATACGGGCCCTGTTGTCCACGTCGTCGTCCCTTACTTCAGCTTTCCCTACCTCTCACCTGTCACCTTGTTAGATTTGCATTGGAGATGTCACCAACCGATTGCTCTTATTCTTCCTCATTGAGATCGCTTAGTTGATGTAAACTATCCCGTGACTTCTTGATTAACCAATCCAGATCAATTATACATATAAATACATGTGTGTTTGTATTCAAATATCCCATCGAACTGCCAATAAGTGTAACGGATCCACTAATATGTCTTGTTCATGACGTAAACCACATAATCCAATTTACGATTTATTCAAATCTTAAATCAAATTCATATGTACATCAAAATACTTTCATTCCTCTGCCTCATAATATTTCTCTACACTGTACAAAAACTGCATGTCTAAGCACTATCCCGTCAGAGTTTATCACGCGCACATTCAGACCACACACCACATTCAGTTCCGATCATACTGCAAGTTTTAATCCTCAATCTCCCCTCAATTCTTACCCTTACGATAATTGTCAACATCATAAATTCCAGACATTTGTCTCAGTCATAACTTTACTTTTAACCTTTCACCAATATACTTGACCATTCCTGGCTATAACATGTTTCACAAAACTATCTGTCTTGAACGCTCGATTTTTCATCAGCCATTTAAATATAATCACTGACTATCTGTTCTCTACCTGTTTTTATCTCACTCCTGTCTCACAATGACAACAGTCTTTCACACACATTCTTTTTGTTCCACAAAGAAAAGATAGTGGGCGGTTTTATTCGGATTTTCAAAAGAAAACTTATAAATTCATATTTAAACTGACAAGGATTTCACTTGATTAACTTAAACTATACAGCAGGGGTTCAACTAGGTGCCCTTACTTGTATGAAAAAAGCAATTATTGAAATCTTTGAAATGCTTAATTCGACAAATATTTTCCAATTTGTGCATGCATCTAAAAACAATTTATTTTAAACATCAAATTGTGTGGTTAAGTTCTATGAGATTTTCAACAAAGGGCATAACTCCATATTTGTGAGTATCATTTATTGTAACAAGCAACATGATGTACACAATCGAAAATCAGAAAATAGGACTTTCACATCATTAGTAGATTTCAATAAAGATAAATAGTGTTATGAATTGATAGAAATCCTGATCTGGTGTCATTTTCCCTTAAGCGTGTTCATCTTATTTCTGTACTTCTTTTGATATTTGATGGACAATTTAGCATGTCGTATAAAGGTCGGGATGTCCACTATTATCGGTAGAACAAAAGTCGTCAGAACGATCACAAACCCTAAATAGCCGATTACGGTGCTGGACGGTCGACTGTCTGGGGCGGAGGTCTTCTTTCTGATGGTCGAAGAAAGCGTTGATGTGTCTAAAATTAGGTTGTTTCTGGTATTCGTGCTCCATTCCTCCAACGTTTCACTTGAAGGAGCCGCCGTAGTTGTTGTAGCTGGATCTCCACCATTGCCACAATCTGCAAACAAAGACAATGTTAATAAAGTAATACTAAAGTCTTAACATCATGGGCGCCAAAGCGTGACTACAACATATAACATCAAAGTGTGTCTGTCATGTCGTTATAGTTATGTAACGTATTACACACGCCTCTAGTGGTGTGACCACAACTGGTGATGTGATAGTGACTACAATGTGTCGCAACATAGTGTGATAACAACGAGTTATAAAATGTGTGACTGCCACTTGTGACGCAATAGTGTGACTACAATATGTGACATCATCGTCTGACTACAACGTGTGACGTCATAGTGATTTAACTACAGCGTGCGACGACATAAAGTGATACCAACAACAACTGACGACGAAACAAGGCATGGTGACACAGAATGAAAACTTGTGACATCAATGTGTGATATCAAAGTGCAACTGCTACGTGGGATGGCGTAGTTTAACTCGTGTGACGTCATAGTGTTAAAAAATGTAACTCGATCGTTCCTTTGTTAATATGGTTGCATTAACAATACGATATAAACAATCGACATCAGCTAAAAATAATACTCGAAATACGAAGTAAAGAAACATCTATGTACAATTAAGTTTGTGTATACAGAAACCAAACAAAGTAAGCGTTTTACTTCACCATGCATCAATTTCTTCAATTTAAGGCTGACCAGTGGTACTATAGATAAAAAATGAAATAACTGTAAAAATGATCAGACACAAAGGTATAATGATACACTCATTCATCACAAATTGGGAATCATCAGATAAATGTTTGATTGAAAAAATGATTGATTCTTTCGTTTTCGCCGATAATTGAATAAAAAAACTGTTGTAAGAGCAACTGCTGGGAAAGTATGGGAACCCGTATGTAATTCTATAAACCCAGACCACAAATGGGCTGAAAGGACTTTCACAAAACAAGTATAAATTACCGTCTGTAAAAGTGGTGAAAAATGTGGTCGCTGTAAAACTATCCAGCTGCTTCACGTCATCAGCGATGTATGAATGACTGGCATATGACATGAGATCTGTCGAATTGTACAGTTGTATTCCAACAATGTTTACTTCGCTATCAAACTCCGTAAGCTGTAGGAGTTGTAGAGCAGAGGTGATATCATTGGAGGAATAATTCGACACAAACACCACTGTTATATTGGACACGTAAGGGCGCCCTCCATTAGTCTCACTCAGAATATCACTGAACTCGTCATACGTTGAAATCGTATTCATCGACATTACCGGTAGACTTAGAATAGTATTCACAAGGTCGTTTTTACTCATGCCATTGTCAAGTTCGTGATGGCGAAAAAAGTAGGGCGACGTGAAGGTTACCAGACCAACATGTACCAGTTCATTATCAATGTCGGCGGCAGCAAGCGTATCAACAGTAAACATTTTCGACTGCTCAAACAATTCGGCATTCGATGTATCAAAAATAAACAGCATATCCAATGATTTTGCAGATACTGCAATAAAGAAAATATATATATTATTCAATGCAAGATCTGTGTAATATAACCTATCTTTACAAATAAGAAATATTTTCTGTTTGACAAGCACTTGTCAACATAGATTTTACCTTAAAGTAACTCACTGGCTTGCAATGGAACAGATTTGAAAAATTCTCTCAAAGATACGGAGAAGCCAAGATAGAGAGCAATTTAACTCAACTGAAAATGCTGAAGATATGTTGGCATCATCAAGATACTTTTGATTTAGATTTAATAGCGATAAGAACTACTGTAGGAAAATAGGTTTGTCTCTGCTTTGAAAATTGTATAAGCATGATCGATCGAATTTCATTGTATGCTGATGTAGTGGTATGCGCATTTGAAGTGTGTTGACATTTACGTACATGTTTTAATGTATGTGTTTATGACGTGTATTGACGTTGTGATATATGTTGTGACGTGTATTGACGTTGTGGTATATGATTATGACGTGTGTTGACGTTGTGGTATATGTTGTGACGTGTATTGATGTTTTGTATATATTTTGACGTGTATTGACGTTGTGGTATATGTTGTGACGTGTATTGACGTTGTGGTATATGATTATGACGTGTATTGACGTTGTGATATATGTTGTGACGAGTGTTGATGTTATGGTAGATGTTTGTGACGTTTGTTGATGTTATGGTATATTTTTATGACGTGTCTTAACGTTGTGATATATCTTTCAAGTCACAATCATCCACCATAACATCAACACACGTAACGGCATATATCACAACGCCAACACACGTCATAAACATATACCATAACATCACCACACGTCAATATATGTTGTGACGTGTGTTGACGTTGTGGTTTATGTTGTGACGTGTGTTGACGTTGTGGTATATGGTGTGACGTGTATTGACGTTGTGATATATGTTGTGATGTGTGTTGATGTTATGGTGGATGTTTGCGACGTGTGTTGACGTAATGTATATGTTTATGACGTGTGTTGACGTTGTGGTATATGTTGTGACGTGTGTTGACATTATGGTATATGGTTGTGATGTGCATTGACGTTGCAGTATATGTTTGTGATGTGTGTTGACGTTATGGTATATGTTTGTGACGTGTATTGACGTTATGTATATGTTTATGACGTGTGTTGACGTTGTGGTATATGTTGTGACGTGTATTGACGTGATGGTATATGTGTGTTGTGTGTATTGACGTTATGGTATATGTTTCAGATGTGTGTATTGACGTTGTAGTATATCTTTGTGATGTGTGTTGACGTTGTTATATGTTTGTGATATGTATTGACGTTGTAGTATATCTTTGTGATGTGTGTTGACGGTTTGATATATCTTTGTAATATGTGTTGACGTTGTAGTATATCTTTGTGATGTGTGTTGACGTTGTGTTATATGTTTGTGATATGTATTGACGTTGTAGTATATCTTTGTGATGTGTGTTGACGGTTTGATATATCTTTGTGATATGTGTTGACGTGTTGCTATTTGTTTGTGACGTAAGTTGACGTTGTTGTATACGTTTGTGACGTAAGTTGACGTTGTTGTATAGGTTTGTGACGTAAGTTGACGTTGTTGTATCTGTTTGTGACGTAAGTTGACGTTGTTGAATATGTTTGTGAGGCCTGTCGACATGATGGTTTATATCTCGTTGATATTTGTTAACGTTTTAGTAAACCTTTCGTTTAACATATATATATAAAGAGTTCTTATAATTAAAAAGATAAAGAAAATACCAACAGAAAGAGTTATATAAAAATATTTTTAAAAAATATTAAAAAAATAAAATCATTTGTTATTAAATATGTTTAGCATTATGGCTTTATTGGAGAATTCCTTACAAGGCACATAGCTGGTCAATCCATTCCACTGGCCGTATCCACCTGGTGTCTGTAACACCAATAGTATGAGACCGATCCACAGCAACGTCGTTGCAGTCATCTAAAACATCATAAACAAGTATCGTTTTAATGTTTATGAGTTGTTGTATATGTTGGTGACGTAAGTTGACGTTGTTGTATATGTATATCTTTGTGATGTGTGTTGACGGTTTGATATATCTTTGTGATATGCGTTGACGTGTTGCTATTTGTTTGTGATATGTGTTGACGGTTTGCTATTTGTTTGTGATATGTGTTGACGGTTTGCTATTTGTTTGTGATATGTGTTGACGGTTTGCTATTTGTTTGTGATATGTGTTGACGGTTTGCTATTTGTTTGTGATATGTGTTGACGTTGTAGTATATCTCTGTGATATGTGTTGACGTGTTGCTATTTGTTTGTGATGTGTGTTGACGTGTTGCTATATCTTTGTGATATGTGTTGACGGTTTGATATATCTTTGTGATATGTGTTGACGTTGTAGTATATCTCTGTGATATGTGTTGACGTGTTGCTATTTGTTTGTGATGTGTGTTGACGGTTTGATATATCTTTGTGGTGTGTGTTGACGTTTTGCTATTTGTTTGTGATATGTGTTGATGGTTTGCTATTTGTTTGTGATATGTGTTGACGGTTTGCTATTTGTTTGTGATATGTGTTGACGTGTTTCTATTTGTTTGTGATGTGTGTTGACGTGTTGCTATTTGTTTGTGGTATGTGTTGACGTGTTGCTATTTGTTTGTGACGTAAGTTGACGTTGTTGTATCTGTTTGTGACGTAAGTTGACGTTGTTGAATATGCTTGTGACGTAAGTTGACGTTGTTGAATATGTTTGTGACGTAAGTTGACGTTGTTATATATGTTTGTGACGTAAGTTGACGTTGTTATATATGTTTGTGACGTAAGTTGACGTTGTCGTATATGTTTGTGACGTAAGTTGACGTTGGTGTATATGTTTGTGGCGTAAGTTGACGTTGTTGTACATGTTTGTGACGTAAGTTGGCGTTGTTGTATATGTTTGTGACGTAAGTTATATATCTTTGTAATATGTGTTGACGTTGTAGTATATCTTTGTGAGATGTGTTGACGTGTTGCTATTTGTTTGTGACGTAAGTTGACGTTGTTGTACATGTTTTTGACGTAAGTTGACGTTGTTGTATATGTTCGTGACGTAAGTTGACGTTGTTGTATATGTATATCTTTGTGATGTGTGTTGACGGTTTGAAATATCTTTGTGATGTGTGTTGACGTTTTGCTTTTTGTTTGTGATATGTATTGACGTTGTAGTATATCTTTGTGATGTGTGTTGACGGCTTGATATATCTTTGTGATGTGTGTTGACGTTTTGCTATTTGTTTGTGAGATGTGTTGACGTTGTAGTATATCTTTGTGATATATGTTGACGTGTTGCTATTTGGTTGTGATGTGTGTTGACGTGTTGCTATTTGTTTGTGTTGTGTGTTGACGTTGTAGTATATCTTTGTGAGATGTGTTGACGTGTTGCTATTTGTTTGTGATATGTGTTGGCGTTGTAGTATATCTTTGTGATATGTGTTGACGTGTTGCTATTTGTTTGTGATATGTGTTGGCGTTGTAGTATATCTTTGTGATATGTGTTGACGTGTTGCTATCTGTTTGTGATGTGTGTTGACGTGTTGCTATTTGTTTGTGTTGTGTGTTGACGTTGTAGTATATCTTTGTGATGGGTGTTGACGTTGTGTTATATGTTTGTGATATGTATTGACGTTGTAGTATATCTTTGTGATGTGTGTTGGCGGTTTGATATATCTTTGTGATGTGTGTTGTCGTTTTGCTATTTGTTTGTGATATGTGTTGACGGTTTGATATATCTTTGTGATATGTGTTGACGTTGTAGTATATCTCTGTGATATGTGTTGACGTGTTGCTATTTGTTTGTGACGTAAGTTGACGTTGTTGTATCTGTTTGTGACGTAAGTTGACGTTGTTGAATATGTTTGTGACGTAAGTTGACGTTGTTGAATATGCTTGTGACGTAAGTTGACGTTGTTGAATATGCTTGTGACGTAAGTTGACGTTGTTGTATATGCTTGTGACGTAAGTTGACGGTGTTGTACATGTTTGTGACGTAAGTTGACGCTGTTGTATATGCTTGTGACGTAAGTTGACGGTGTTGTACATGTTTGTGACGTAAGTTGCCGTTGTTGTATATGTTTGTGACGTAAGTTGCCGTTGTTGTATATGTTTGTGACGTAAGTTTACGTTGTTGTATATGTTTGTGACGTAAGTCGACGTTGTTGTATATGTTTGTGACGTAAGTGGACGTTGTTGTATATGTTTGTGACTTAAGTTGACGTTGTTGAATATGTTTGTGACGTAAGTTGACGTTGTTATATATGTTTGTGACGTAAGTTGACGTTGTCGTATATGTTTGTGACGTAAGTTGACGTTGCTGTATATGTTTGTGACGTAAGTTGACGTTATTGTATATGTTTGTGACGTAAGTTGACGTTGTTGTATATGTTTGTGACTTAAGTTGACGTTGTTGAATATGTTTGTGACGCCTGTCGACATGATGGTTTATATCTCGTTGATATTTGTTAACGTTTTAGTAAACCTTTCGTTTAACATATATATATATAAAGAGTTCTTATAATTAAAAAGTTAAAGAAAATACCAACAGAAAGAGTTATATAAAAATATTTTTAAAAAATATTAAAAAAATAAAATCATTTGTTATTAAATATGTTTAGCATTATGGCTTTATTGGAGAATTCCTTACAAGGCACATAGCTGGTCAATCCATTCCACTGGCCGTATCCACCTGGTGTCTGTAACACCAATAGTATGAGACCGATCCACAGCAACGTCGTTGCAGTCATCTAAAACATCATAAACAAGTAACGTTTTAATGTTTATGATTCAACCATGGCTTAAATTCTCTTATATGTGTTGCTTAATCACATCTCTTAGCGAATATTGTGCAAATATATCTTCAACGAAATATCGTAGTTACGTTATCACGCATTATATATAACATTATTTAGTTTTCATCATATAGGATAATTATATATCTGTGCATAAATATCCAATACTATCTAAATAGCAACATGCATTTCATTATGACATCATCGTACATGTATTGAATTATACAGAGACAGAGACAGAGATCAGACAGTGACCGGACAGTGAACCGACGCATTCGGCAAGATTTGGACGCAATCTGGACTTAATCGGCTAGAAACGCCAATGAAAATTTTCTCCAAATCTTGCCCGTTCATCACGACAGCGTCCCGATCCACACGACACCGTCAAGACACCGTCCAGATAAAACAAGATATTGTTACGATTTTGATCCGATACAGCAGAATCTGTCACGACATAGTCACGATTGTAATCCGACTAGACAAAATCGGCTGAGATTCCCGAATGTTACGGGACACACCTAACTGTCGGGAGTGCTTGGCCGACCTCTCCGGACCCTCCCGATCCGTATGACTCTTTTACGAACGTATACGACTGCGTTCAGACAACGATAGGACATTCCAGATCATTGAGGATGATAATCCGACTTTTTCGCATTTCGTGTCGTAGCGCTGTCTGATCTCAAACGGGAGCCATAATCGGCACTGTGTGAACGCCGCATTAAGAAGATTAAAATACTTGAAAATCAATATTACGTTTACATTTCCTAAATAGGGAAGCCAAATGAAATTAGATAATAAAGTCTGCCTATCTTTATACTGAAAACGGGTTTTGACTGTTATCACGTTTTTAAATTGCACAACACATTTCCTCATACACAACTAGCAATGTAGTTCTACTTGTTTGTGTAATATCAAAATCGTTATGATACATGTAAATATACTTAGTAATTTGCATTTATCTTTAAACAGAAACATTGTGCATGCATGTTTCTCTGCTACGTTTGACGATATCTATGATAAATTTATATCAGTCAATAATGGATCGGAACAAACGTTCAGGTTGCATTGGCGTCGTAACTGCAATAATGCACAGTTACGATACTAAACATTACATATACCAGTTACAACATTTTTTGTTATCAAAGCTTACTTACGGTCTTATATGTGTCGCAATGTAGCCTCTCCTCGACTAACAGGCACGGTATGGTAGAAACCAAACACGAATATATAAAGGAATGACGTGATCTATTAGATATTGACCATTTAGACTGAGCTGTTTGTCTTTGCTTCAGCGTAATCAATATTCATATAGACTTTTTCAAAACCTTTCTCGCATTTTGTTTGTAACATTTAAGCGTAATTGAAACCACCTGCTTCAGTTGCAACTAAATATTAAACCAAGTTAGGACCACATAACCTGAAACAGTTCTATCCAATCGTACGTCTCATTAGGGAGTGGTCGATAACACTATTTCAACCTCTTGCATTGTTTAGAACACGTATCAACATTCCAATGAATCGTTTGAAGTAATAATTTATGATCGATTTTCTCTTTCGATCATTCAGTCTTCTACGTCACCTACATTTGGACATGTACACAGTATACATATTTGTTTGTTTCTCTCGGGGTTTTGAGTTAAATAATTTACGGTAAACACGTGCCACGCTGATGGTGGGGCCACTTAAGGACCGTTTAGGTGTGACGTCATACATTACTTTCCTTAAATGTCACAACCGCGACATATAAATATTTCACACATTCACATTGTTCTGAAAACAGGGAACCAGAGGCACTTACAGAGAACCAGCTAAATTATCAAAAAATAACAGAAAAGAGAACATAAAAAACCCAAATTAGAATTACAATTATTGTTACCGATTAGATTAGAGAGAACACCGAATAAAACAAAAATTATGTATGAGGGCCACCATTACTTGCTACATACAATCATGCAATGGATACCTATGCCGTTTTCATGAAACCGCTCTCATGCTTATGAAACTCAGAACATGTGTACAAGCTTAACGTTTTGTGTTTATGATAGATTGATCAAAATTCACATTTTGTCAATGACGTTATATAGACTTGAAGCTGCATATCGTTTTAAATGTTTAAATTCGTGGTTTTTACCGTGCTTTGTTCAAAACCCATGC